AGCAAGCTGATGGCAGGTTTGACTCACTAGCTCACGCCTGTAGCAATGGAGGATCGAAACGAATGAACGAGTCGTAGAGCAACTGGTTGTATAACTGGCGGAATGGGTCCTTCGACTACTATATCAGCGCTACTGCTCGCTGTGTCACGGTCAAATTTTTTGTTGTGAACATTAGATATGTCGAGAACCAAAATTATATCAAAAAACAAAATTTGGAAAGACCTAAGGCTAGTAAGGGGATTTTAGCAGAAAAAGTCGATTTTTGAAACTTACTTCAAATAGAGTTTAGCCTCTTTCCTCGGTTCATTACTTCATACCACTTTTTCTTCGCCAGTGTGCTTTCATTACTCAAGTTATGCGATCGAACCACATACTCATCATATTGGTGATGGGCAGAAAGCCGTACTCATGATTCCCATTCCTAATGGCACGCTGTATTTTCCCTACGTTAATAGGCAAATGACAAAGCACAGACTGCTTATTAGTATGTCTTCACGTTTGTTCTGATCCCTCATCTTCGATTCTATTATTTAAATCGTGTGAAGTGATTTGCACTTAAAATCCTAAAATCCTTGTTTAGTATTTTATGCTGATAAAAAATACGTTGGTATTGGGCGATTTAGAAGTGCAAGCAAAAATCTGATCAATTCCGCATGATGGTTGGGAGGAAAAAGGATTATTTTCAGCTCCAGCAAACAAATGCCTAAGAAAGTGTCTCTGCTTGTGTATATTTTTTACCAGGAATCTGAAGTCTAAGATTTGATGTTTATTTTCCATTTTTTTAAAGACTGGATTATATTTGCACCTCAAAAATCTTTTTTTTTCTTCTCGCAGTTTGTGGAATCTTATTATTTGACGGTCGTCTACTCAGCCGTATTCTTTTTCGCTGGTACCATTTGTTGTTGAATGAAAGCGATTAAAATACGATGCCAAGGCTAAGGTTAAAATAGAATTTTTACGAAAATATCATAAAGTGTTAAAAATGGCCATTTTGCAAGAACTGACAGTTGCTTCTTCAAGTGCTTCTATTTATATTGCTAAAATCGAGTTTTTTTCATATCAAGCTTTCAGTTTCATTTGCACTTTCACATCACAGATATTCCCATGATGCCTCTAACTTCATGAAGATTTGGGTCGACAAAAAATGATAGGACATTCCTTAACTGCATACGGAAATATCTCCCGTCGATGTCGGAGCATCTCAAGTGCAATTACAAATTTTGCGCATTTTTTCACTTTTTTTTTCATTTCTTGTTTTGTTTTCTCCTGCTTCAAAATCTCAATAAAATTCACGGAACCAATTCAACAATAAATCTATTTTTTTAGCAAATCAAACCAGCCAAGAGCAGCACAATAAAGGCTATTAACGCTGCACCATTTGTGCTGCTAATTTACAGCATGCTCCAGTTGTCAGCAGAGCAAGAAGCTATCTCTCTTTGTATTTACTGATGGAAGCAAAAATTGTAATGAGTGTAAGGATGGCTGAAGCAGAGATCCCTCATATGCTTCCTGAAGCAGGAGAGAAGGCCTCCTTTTATGCGGCGCCACTCAGAAAGCGAAGAGGGAAGTCGAAATTGAGCGAAATTTGCATTTCCGGCAATTTTCTTCAGGCTTATTTCTTCTAAACTATTTTTGGTCTCATATGCTCTGATTACTCGTATCTTGTGTTTTCCTTCCTCTTTCGGGCTAAAATTTTTTATTTTTTCCTGCACTTTAAAGTTTTCGCGAAAAAGCAGTGAGTGCAGATGAGTGAACGATGATGCCTGAAAGATATGTTTGCATTTTTTTAGCGCAGCTAGAAATTTCATCAAAAAGTGAATTTTCAGCTTTTCGCCTGTAAGAAATGTCCTAAAAAACAGAGAGAGCCAGAAAAATCGGTGTGGGTTTCTCATGTTAATGATGCTCCCTCACTCCTGACGCATGTCTGCTAAACATGCCCTTTCCCCCCTCTCTGCCCCTTGCCCCAAAAAGCCAAAGCGACCGGGAAAATCGTTTTGGAATCTTATGTTGGTGATGATACTGTAATACTCCCAGAAGCAGGACGCAGTCATGCCGGGCATGGGCCTCAATCTTATGTTTTAGGATTAGCATTTGGCACCGCTTTGCAGTGATCCCACACACATACTCAAGACATGTGTACCACAAACTTTGTTATAGTAAATACTTTACCTCTGAACCTGCTACTGATTTACTGTTGGTGTTTATCTCCAACGGTGTAGCGGATTCACGGGAGCCGAGAACCATGCCATTTTCTATCTTCATTCCATTTCATGGTTGTTTCGATCGGTGGTGCACCGTCTGATGGTCAGCCTTCTGGCGACCTTGGCTCCATGAGGATTGCTTGGTTAAAAAATTGATCAAATTTCTTAAATTGGGCAGTTTGCTTCAATTCCTGGTAAACTTGGTAAAATTTTTCAGGACCTTTTCTGTATTGCAATTGCCATATCCAGAAAAAGGCGGAGTAGGGTGCTAAGAGTGTGCGGCTTCTGAACGATTGCAACATTTCCCAAATTTTGTTTAGGATGCAAAAAAATTTCAAGGATTTCTTCCGAAGCTGCATTGAGACGTACGTACTACTGGGATTTTACTTCATGCTTAAAATGAAATCCGAAAGCGCTGCGAAAGTTTTGTTTTTATTGGATTTCACTAAAAAGGGAAAGTTTCTGCTTGTGCAAAATTTTCGTTTCTTCATTTTAGTGGCGAAGAAAAACGAGGAACTGAAGCTATTAGGCACGGTGAAGAAAGTTTTAAATGAATATTGCATCTCACGCAATAAGCCTAAACTTCCTTCCTCCATCCGTTTGATGACTTTATTATTTTTCACTTCATTTTTTGTTTTCGAAAAAATTTTTTATTGATTTTTATGCCGAACGGGTTTAGTTTTGAATCGCTGAACATGATTTGATTTATTTGTGCTTGACTTGTTATTTTGTCCGCAGTAATCAAAAATGCCAGGCAGCTTGAAGTTTTCAAAATAATTTCTCACTTCTCAAATTCGTTGTCCTATTGAAAAAGTCCGAGGCAGAATTATTCTTTATGGATTCTTCTTTCTTTTTCGTCTTCATTAAGGCCGGTAGGGGAAAGTGAGAAGGCTGTTTTATCACTTCCGTGATGAAAAAGGTGAAACATAGTGAGTTGATTTGTCATAATAATTTTCTCGTTGTAAGCAGTCGAGTGGTTGCCTCTTTCAGTTTGTCACGCCAGTAACTGCGATCATCGATGTCACCGGAAGGTTACAGGGGTT